CTCCTAGCTATTTATTTCTGCTTATCACTTTTTTTTTGCTATAAAATGTCTCTTCTTTTAGTTTTAATATTTACACGACAACGAAATTTTTTTCCTTTGTTATGCGATAGCGGATGCTGATTTGAATCACAAGTGAGTAGACTTTTTTTCATAGTTCTTGCATAGTTTTGTGATTTTTCCATCAAAACAGTAGCTGGTTTACATAGCGCGATCACTGGCTTACTGACTTGATTGTGATCCTCTTTATGTCTTTGTGCGAACGTTGCAAAAAAAAAAAACTTATTTTCTTAGTTTTCACAAATAAAGTTCAGATCTAGTTTGCTCGAATTAGTTTTACCATCCATTGATTGCGCGCGGCGGTGGTGTGATTGTATGCGTTTTTCATATGTTTGTCCCGTTTAGGGAAGGTCATTGTCAGAAACCAAAATGTCACAAACCTCGAAGCTTTCTTCTTTTTCTTTTAAGCTGTTCCTTCTCTGCATATTCATTGTGTCATCAACTATTCCTATCTCCTAAATATATTTTTTTCCTGTTTAATAATGGAGGCATCCTTTTCATTCTTCCAATCAACTTCTCAAGTGAGTAACTTGCTAACTAGCTATATACACTTTCTCAGATAAAAGCAACCAAAGCTTCCCCTTTTTATGGGCTCCTACAAAACGCACTTTCGACAGCTGCAGTGTCAGCATATTCAAATTGTGGAACCTCTAATTTGGCCGTTTATTCTGTTCATCCACAGCTTAGTTTGCATCTAGAAAATTGATAGAGTCAGCATTAACATTTATCTGGCATTTGTCGTCTTTTGTAGGCTATATTGTGTGAAATTGAAATGGTGATCCAGTTGGAACTGATTCTTTTTCACCTGTACCACTATTGGCAATTATACATATAAGGATTACGTGTTTTGATCTTTGTTCAACTTTGAGTAGCATTTATTGACTTTCAAATTTTGACGCCATGTCATAAATTCTGACGATTGTTTTGGCCTTCGCCTTTGTTACAATCTATAGAAAGGCGCACTACAGCATTGAAAAATCACCTTGTTTATGAGTACTCCGTTTTAGAAAGTATTCGTTTTTGTATCCACCTAACTTCAGATCCTATTCGCATTATGCTTGAGAATATCGTTGCATGGGTCCTAAATAACTACATTGGTGAATATCTGGAAGATCTCAATACCGATCAGCTTTCCGTTGCACTGTTATCAGGTAATCCATTTTACTCTAATTAATACTTCATCAATAAACTTTTTTTTTGCAGGACAAGTAGAATTAGAAAATGTACCACTGAAAAAAAGTGCATTGCGAAAGCTTGATTTACCTCTAGAGGTAAAAGCTGGTTTGCTGGGCAAGCTTACACTTTCCGTAC